TTGTCCTCAGAGAAGTAGAACTTCCTTTTACCCAGAATGCCCTTCCTTCTTTCCTGATGAAATGCTTATCGATTCTTCAAAGTCTGTCTCAAATGTTACCTCTTCTATCAAACTTCCACGTTAGTGATTTAGCAAACACATATATAACATTTGTTTTGCCTCTCTATCCTTATTATTATGTTTATATAACAATTATTCTGCATAACGTGCTGTCATTCTCTCTGTTCAACACGTAGCAATATGGAGCATAGAGAAATTAAGTCACAAAGAGGCTTCACAGTCCCATACATAGCCACACTTTTCTGTGTTGCCTCTTCCTGGGAGCTCTCCGTCCAGAATTACTGACTCCTCTTGCTTTCAGTGACCTCTGTTATACCCCTTTTAATAGTATGTGAAAAGTATGAGTTAATTGTTTAAATGTTTTTCTTCTTTGGTAGAGAATAAGCAAGTTGAAGGTAGAAACTGCATATTTATTTTCATATCTCCAGTGTTGGGTACATAATAGATGCAGAATGAGTGAAAGAATGAACATGAATGAATGAATGAATGGCTGAAGGTATAAGAAATTAAAGTGCAGGAGTAGGAGGGGGCTTCGATAACCATATGCAGCCTGCACTTTTCTAGGCCAAAGAATCCCTGAGCTGCATGACAATTCAGGCCACTGTAATTTCTGCCTTTGACATCATATTATTTAAGAGTTTCCATTAATCCTTTGGTGTGTTCTAACCTAATAATGCTATTCTCAGTGAAACAGATGATGAAGCGCCTGCACCGGCAGGTATTATGCTCTTTAAACACAGTTGCTCTTTTGTCACCAAGGATATTTCTGCATCTGATATTGATTTAAATATTCAGTTATGAATGTCACTAAGACAACTTTATTTTTAGCTGAGGATTGTATTGGCTGAAGAACCTGGCAATGTGAACAGTATAATGCATGCTTGCTAATCTGAAGAGAATGAATGGAGTGGCTTCATTGATCAACATTCATAAGGCTTTTCATTCTGTGCTGATATAAAGTTGAAAAATATTGGATGCTATGATTTTACTGTATTTTAGTGTCAAGTGGTAAAAACATCTTTGAAAAATTCATTACATTTTGCAGACGATTCAAGTTGTGGTGATTTTTTACTCAAATATAGATTTATGCAGGTGTGCCTTGAATTGCAGAATTTGGAAATGATGTCCGTTACCAAAGAATTTTCAGGAAGTTCATCAAATATCTAGAGTGAGTATAATGAGTTTCGGGACTGGATTACCATCTACCCTTCTCAATAAAGCAAACCAACCAAACATGATTGCTAGCCAGATGGAAAATATAAATAGTGGTTTTGCTTGTGTGCATAACCCTCAATGTAGAGTTCTGTGAAATTTACATTAGAATATGCACTTTAGGCTTTATCCAAAGTGGGATTTTTGCTGTTTGTTTATCTAAAACTGGTGCCCGCAAGCTCAGGTGTGCTTGCAGAGGGAGGCAGGGACCAGGTCGCCAGACTCCAGTGCCACCTGCTTGAGTATGGATGAGGCTGGCAGGCTGCTTCCAGAAGGGAAGTGTGGTTGGCAGAATAATGGCCAGCCCTAAAGAAGTCCACATTCTAATCCTTCAAAGCTGTGAACCTTTTGCCACTGCCAAGGGGACTTTGTGGATGTGATTGTGTTAAGGATCTTGAGATGGGGAGCTTATCCTGGGTTATTCAGGTGGGCCCAAATATGATTATAAAGGTATTTATTAAAAGGATGAGGAAGTTATAGGAGGACATGTGACGAAGCAAACGTCTATGATGGAGGGTCACACAAGTCAAGGGATGTGAACAGTCTACAGAATTCGGAAAAAGCAAGGAAACAAAATTTCATCTAGGATCTCCCCAGCCCTGCTGACACCGTGACTTTAACCTAATGAGACTTTGAATCTATAGAAGATGTGCTATTTTAAGCCACTTGGTTTGTGGTAATGTATTATAGCAGCAATAGAAAACTAATACAGAAGGTTTGGGGACCTGCCCAGATGTGTGTACCACAGGGAGCAAGAAACAAAGGGGAACTCTCTGGGTCTGATCCCAGAAAGTGAAGGATGAAATAACCCTACTTGCTGATAAAACGTCCAGTTAACCGCAAACTTCAATATGTCAAACCAACCACACTCCTGTCCTGCAAAGGAGTGAGTGAGAGAAGACAGAAGCTCATTAAGGAATCTTAGTGGGGAGAAGTTTAACTTCAAGAATTAGAGACTTACACAACCATTTGGAAGATGGGAGAGCCAAGCCCAGGACGACCACTCTTAGGAAATCTGGAAGTGTGACATTCACTAGAAGAGACTCAGAATGGTGCCAGATCTACAGGTCAAACCTCACTTCTGCTGTTTGTTAAACCCCGTGAGCCTTCCTGCAGCCTCCAACAAAAAATAATAACTCCCACCTTCCAGATCTCACAGGAGGCCCTGTCAGTGGTGGATTTACCCAGGGACCTGAATACAAGAAAGAACTGTAGTTTCTAGACGTTATTCCTCTGAAGTCCAAGGGCTGAACTGTACAGGGTATCAGCAATATCTGACATGAGGGTGAAGAGAAAAATGATGGCGAATCTTGCTTCTCTATAGTTTAAGGGGGAAATGTGGGAAGAGGATCATAAATATCCTTACTGCAACCCCCAGTCTGTTTGTTCTCTTGGCCTATTGGGGCAATAGCTACCATCATGAATGTACTGGCAAACTCTTGGTATTATGCAAAGCCATTCGATAAACTCAGACTGCAGAGAGAGGTGATGGTTGTGAAATTGAATATGAATAAATAAATTTAAAATGATTGTGTTGTAACTTAACTGCAGCTTAGGAGGTAACTATTTTGAACCTACATTATTTCAAGGGCATTTTTGAAGCTTTTAACAAATAATTTAAGCCCAATTAAATTTCATTGCCAGTGTCAGAAGCAGTTAAATTTTAGTTTCCTAGGGCCTTTGAACTTCTGTGTTTACTCTGAGAGACCAGATTTTATCATGCCATTTCCTCTACTTTGTAAAATTTGAAGAGGTTGTACATGTAACTGTTATCTAATTATTGATAGTTATAAATGCCATTTAATTAAATAATGCAAGAATAAACTCAGCATGCCTTATTTCTTAATACTTGCAATCAAGTATTTTCAGAAGATTTGCATAATACTGCTAGTTCAATCTTTAATTGCCTCAGAAGAGTCTGGAATTGCTTCTGGTATGTCAAAAGCAGCAAAGGGGGTGGTGCAGCCACGGTGCAGTGCAGCACACAGGCATTTGGCTCCGTTTGTAATCTCAGAGGATGAAGGTGGGGAGCAGCCAATGTTAAAACCAGGAGGTCAGGAGGAATCTATAAATTGAATGTGGAGCCAAGTCAAACCAAGATTCCCAATGATGAACTAAGAATTTGGAAAAGAACGGGTGGGATGTGTCATGGAGCACTTGAGGTAGCAGAAGCTAGGAGTGCAGGGAGCAAGATATTAGGCATCACCAAATAGAACTGTCTGAAGCTATCACCCATTAAAATTCTTCAGTATCTCTAATAAAGTATGGCTTTAATTTCCACTAGGGAATGTGATGTGATTCTGGAGTTCAAGGCATTTATAATAATAAAACCACAATATGCAAATCGACCGAATGGCTGAACAGCAGAACGACCTTCTGGATGACCTTCTGGACAAAGCCAGGGCTGCGAGGAAGGCAGCCAGGGCTGCCAAGGCCTACTGTTGTACGAATTTAGTGCATCAGGCCTCTACTTCTAAAAATATTAGTCGATTTAGTTTACTCTATTGCTCACAAAAATTAATGCTTCATGATCTCCTATTTCTGATACCTATGGGAAATTTCATTTATATCCTTGGCTTCAAACCTACTTTCAACTCTGTTCAGCTTGGAATTCTGTTCTGAATTCAGACTTGCACATACACTAATTATTAGGCACCCAACCCAGTTGTTTAATAGGTAGGTATCTCACACGTAATAGGTACAATTTTTAAATCATCACCCCTTTTCCACAACTCCAGATCTGTTCCCCTTCCTCTGTTTCCTCACTCAGAAATCTACACCAGCTAGTTGTCCCAGTCAGATATATGAACTTATCTCAGATTTCTTCTTTGACTTTACCTCCTCTAATCGGTGGCTAAGATCTGCCAGTTAAGGCTTGAGTAGTTCTTCTATCTCCAGCGTAGCTTCTTCCCCTGTGCTCCCACAGCACTACGTACCCACTTCTGTGATAATTTTAGCTTACTGTATTACATCTGTCATTTCCATGTCTGTCTCTTTTGATGACAGAGGAGAGAGACAAGGTCTTTTCATTTTTATCCCTTTGGTGGTTAGCCCAATATTTGTTGAGTCAATGAAATGAGTGGAGAAGTAAATAAATGTGATGAAAGCACTATGACCAGAATTTGTACATATTATGTCCTAATTTATGATGAGCCTAATTCTTTATTTTATTTTACTTCCTCTTTGCTATTGAATATCATGTGACCTAATGATAAAAGTTGTATCAATTTTAGAGCCTTCCCAATGTAGCTATAAGATTTTAACATTTATTTTATGATTCACAATGTGAAGTTTCAAAAATATACCAGAGAGATTTAAAATGAGCATGGAGCAGATGACTAACATGTAGTTTTGGGAATTTCAGTGTCAAAAAACATGAATTTATTTCTATCACCAACATATATCTTCTTGAAAATAAGGTAGAACTGATTCTAAAGGAAGTAATCACATTACCCAAATTTTAACAATTAAACTGGTCCATGAAAGAAAAGAAAAGCTTACATGACACTTTACAACATTTTATCTAGAGAATAAATGCCATTATTCAGTTACTAAAATGACCTTTCAAAGCCATGAACTTAAAAAAATAAATGATTTTGTTTTAAAGGGAAATACTTTGTTCTAATTTGCAAGCCAACCGTTGTATTTTTGCTCTACAGTGTTAAGAAATACAAATGACATATTTCAATTTTGAAAGGCATTATTATTCTTTTTGTTCATTAATTAAGCATTTTATGGAAGAATTCTGAGTAATATTGTATAGAAGAATCTTTTCATACGTGGACCTTCCCAAGTATGAAGTTTAGAACCAATTTCTTCATTTGGAGACTCTCCCACCTGGCCCAGCACTGAACACAGAGGCAATACCCGATCTGATGATGTAAACTAGTGGGAATCCAGTTTACTAAAAGCAGCTTTTTAAAGTCTGCATCTCTTGTGTAAATTAAAAGATATTTGTGTGCCTAACAACAAGGAACATTTATGTGGTTTTATTTGTTAACTAGAGGCCCGGTGAATGAAATTCGTGCACGGGGGGGTGGGAAGATCTCTCAGCCTGGTCCACACCCTCTTGCAATCTGTGACCCCTTGGGGGATGTCCTACCGCCTGCAGGACCTCTGGCTTCTAACTGCTTGCCTGCCTTCCTGTCTGATCGCCCCTAACCATTCTGCCTGCCTGTCTCATCACCCCTAACTGCTCACCTGCCTGCCTGATCACCCCTAACTGCCTCTGCCTTGGCCCCTGCTGCCATGACTTTGTCCTGAAGGATGTCTGGAAGGTCATTCGGCTGTTGGGTCTAATTAGCATATTATGCTTTTATTATTATAGATGACTCCTTTAAAGACAAGTAGATTGTGAATGATTGCTTTCTAAAGCAGACTCCAATTTACTACATAACTATCATCCATAGTTTTTTTGGTCCTACTTTCTCATTTTTCTGATGTTTTCCACTTCTTACATATAAAACTTATTTATACTTGTTTGTCATAATCCCTGTGTCTGTCATAGCATATAGTCCCATTTTACCCATCGTAAAAACACACACATGCGCAAACATACATTAAACAGTCAAAGAAACACACACAAAATCTAAGTTCTCCTTCAGTACTAACCTCCCTGCCTAGTTCACCCTTTCTCATCTCAGCCTTTTTGAAAGAATTACCTACACTTGCTCACTTTACTTCTTCACCTTATCTTCACCTTTAAGTTTCTGTGAACTTAAAGTGCTTCTTGGTATTAAGAAATACTTTTTTACACCTGTGCTAGTGCATTTTTAAATGAAGTAGGTTGAATTCTGCTTTCAGATTTTTATTTATTTTTTTGCTTTAAATTAAACTCATAGAAGGACTGTTAATACACGATAATGAATAAGAGTTAATTTTTATTGAGCACTTATTATAGTCCAAGCAGTGTGCTAAACTCTTTAGTGTGCATCACCACCACAGGAGGAGATATGAACTTTGCCCACTGACAACAGGAAGATGAGGTGCAGTACATTGTGCTATGTTCTCAAGCACAATAATAGAGGTCACTCCGAGACCACCCTAGCCCATAGATTGCTAGAAATATACCAACAAGGCTTAGAGTCCCAAATTCAAAAGTTGGAGTAGGATTGTTAGAGAGATTAATTTCTTTATGTTCTTACGTTGCTCCTAATAGATTTTATGTCAGAGCAATAGAGACATACACAATGAGAGTAGACATAGGAAAAAAATGAACCTAAAATGAGCGGAGAGTTTAGTATATTAGATGTATGCTACTAAATCCTCTACCTTTGGAGTTGTGGGTCAGAAAATTGGGCTCTGAGCTCACCAGCAGCCAGTGCAAAGAGAAGAACATCACCAGTGACATGAGGCACTGCCTACAAACTGAAAACAAACCTGTCGTTCAAGCAAAGTGAAGCTAATCCTGGTAATGAGAACCAGCCCTTCTAGCAACGATCGCATATTAGAGGATTGCATATAAGTCCCCTTAAAGTATGTGTCTTTAAAGAAATGTTTCAGATGGGTTTCCTAACTTTCTCGAGCTGTGTTCCAGTGTCAAAGCCTTTATGATCAGGCTCTGCTGCTGGGAAAAAGCTGAAATCCTCTTTGTTTTCATTTTCACCTGTTGAGTGTATGATTCAGTAGGTGCACATAACTGAGTTTTCTCTCCCACCTCACCTTATATCCTCAATAGAAAGTATGGTGCCAGTCGTTAAAATAAATGACTATCTCTGAAATGACCCTTCATCTATTGGCTATCTTAAAACTTTAAAAAAAGTTTTATTTCTCATTTTTGGAGATACTTAAATGTGCTTTCTAAGATAGCAGAACTACTATCACGAAGAGCCATTTGTGTATAAGCAAGTTTTGTGTCATAGGGAAATATTTTATAATTCAGTTGTCCCAGGTTTGTTTTTTCCCATGTTTAAATAGTTTTTATGCTTGCTTTGTTATTTATCACAAGCTTAAAACAGTTTTAAAATTGCACTCTTTTTTAGTTACTGATAAACCCTTTATCTGGGGAGAAAAGTATGTGGGTGGAGAAACAATAAGACTGGCCTAATATGGAATACATTTACAAGATGGAGAGCAAGGAAAAAAAATTTTTATGTAAGATCTGTTTAGCAAAAGAAGATAAATGACAGGATTTTCTCTTTGTTAAAAAAGACATTCTTTTTACAATAGTTTCTTACAGCAATCTCCAGCTTTATGTAGATGAAGTAACTAATAAATAGTTCTGGGCATCTTGAGAATCATATCAGGAGCTATGCAACTTGGGGAGACAAAGCAGAGGGGGGAGGAGAGAGCGAGGGGCAGCAAAATGTAAGCTTAATTAAACAGGGATTTTTCCTTCAAGAAATGTGTTTATGTTGATAAAATGTGTACACAAAGTATTTGTGTTTGATGTTTCCTCAAAAAGTTAAACATAGAATAACCATATGACCCTGTAATTCCACTCTTGGTTATATACCCAAAAGAATTCAAGACAAGTACATATAGGACATCTATGTAAGTAGCCGCATTCTTCACAGTAGCCAAAAGGTGGAAACAGTCTGAATGTCTATCAGTGGATGAATGGATAAACAAATTGTTGTATATGCAAACAATGGAATACTATTTAGCCATAATGAGTGAAGGACTGATTCATGCTACAACATGGTTGAACCTTCAAAAACATTATTTTATGTGAAAGAAGCCAGACACAAAAGTTTACATACTGTATGATTTCATTTAAAATGAAATATTCAGATTAGATCCATAGAGACCAAATGCAGATTGGTGGTTTCTAGCATAAGGGGGAGAAGGGGTAATGGAGAAAAACTGCTTAATGGGTAAGAAGGTTTTACTTGGGAATGACTGAAATGATTTGCAACTAGAAAGGGGTGGTGGTGGTTGCACAACATTGGGAGTGTACTAAAAGCTACTGAATTGTTTACTTTAAAATGGTTCATTTTGTATTATGTGGAAGTTTACCTTAAAGTATATAATAGCCATATATGCATATTAGGTGCTAATATGGAGATGTGTAAATCAGTAAAATAGTGTCATAGAATTTTTGTTTTAAGTTTTGCAGCAGCATTTAGCCTGTTAAACTATGTGTGTCACTTGATTAAAAAATTAATTAAAGCTTTAAAAATGTTCAATTACCAAGGTGTATAATAATATTCAGTAAATAACAATGAACTATTTAAATCCTGAAGAAATGTTAAGTAAAAAGAACAATTAGAACCCTGGCTGGGTAACTTAGTGTCTTACAGCATTGTCCTGATACCAAGATTAGGGGTTCAATCCCTGGTTAGGGCAGATGCAAGAATTAACCAATGAATCCATAAATAAATGAAACAACAAATCTCTCTCTCTCTCTCTCTCTCTCTCTCTCTCTCTCTCTCTCTCTCTCTCTCTCTCTCTCCCCCCTTCCTCCTTCTCTCCCTCCCTCCCTCTCATTCTCTCAAATCAATACATTTAAAAAAATTAAAAACCAATTAGAATATTGAGGGTAATTTAAAGAAATCTCTGTGAAAATGAGTTTTGAGCTATATTTCAGGGCCAAGCTGCATAGGTTGATGGCAAGAATGAGAGGGAGTTGGCCACAGAATAAGGTGACACATGCAGAGGACTGGGCTGAAGTTCTGTAGCATCACAGAAAGGACTTCCCCAAAGGTGACAGCAGAAGTAATAGGAACCTCAAAATTGATCACCTCCTTTCCATTTTTTTTACCTGCTCTAAATACTTTTTTTTTATTCCAATTTTCTATTTGTTTAAATAAAAAAGGATACTGGAATCTCACAACTACTTCTTGGAACTGTTGTAAGAATACTCCCATTTGGGATAGGAAACCCTTCCTAAATTTCACAGATAAAAATTCAATGCAAGTATATTAACGACTTTAAGCCTAGAGTTATTCCACTGACATTCACAGGTCACCAGACTGGAAATGCCTTATATTCTCTAAGGGATAAAAAATCTATGGGTGTAGGTTATGCTTAGAAAATTCAAATGAAAAAGTATGAGTCCCATTGATGCCTTTTTAATTTATTGAAGACCCCAAGAATATTTTTGGATTCAGGACATTAATAATAGCTTCTACCACCGATTCTGTATAGGTTTTGTCTTTAAATTCCATTTCTTAGTCCCATTAAAAATCATTTTTAGAATGAAATAAGTGAGAACTTCATCAAACATCTGGGAAATTAGCTAGTTTCCCTGAGAGAATGCCCTTGAAAAGTCAGATGAGACTTCCAGAGTGACTCTGAAAATTCCCAACTGCCATCAGAGCCCATTCCTTCACACCATGCTGACCACTTCTGCCCCAAGGTGCAAGCACTGGACAAATGGGAAAGTGGGTTAGGGCTCCCTGTTCCCACCATTATTTTAATTTCATGTTTTAGACCCAGAGCTATCACCTTTCACCTGACTGGCTCTGCATTGCACCCCATGCATTGCACAGCATATGGGTAAAATACTAGGGAAAACATCATCATTTATTGGAGTCAGGGTTACTATTATAAGTCATATCTTCTATTCCTTTTTAAAAAAAGAAATGACGAACTTCTGCTATTTCTTTTGCTACTGGGGTATGCTATTTCTTTTCAATGCTTATAGAAGTGTAAGTAAATAACCCATGTTCTTGGTTACCTAAACCAATCCAAACTAACAAAGGTAATTAAAATGTTCTCTGAGTATGTTTACCTTCAATATAAGTAAGTTGTTTAAATTTCCCAGAAAAATTTCCCTCATTTAGGAACTAGATTATTTGCCTCCTGAGACAATGAAAAAATTAGCATAAATCCATCTTAACGCCTAACACACACATGCAATGGGTGCTTCTAAAAAACATTTTGAAATTCCACTTTTGCATTAAGTCAGGTACACAGATTTTCTATATTGTTTTTATTATTCTTGTTTCTACCCAGGTTTTCTATGATTTTTGCTTTTAAAACATTTTGCTATTGCAACTTAAGTGTCCACTGATGGATGAATAAACAAA